TTTCTACTAAGATCAACTATGACAGCAGGTAATGTTTGCAGTCTGATTAATTTCTGCATATTTTAAAGGTCAAGAAGCAGCAGAAGTTATATTTTTATAAATTTTCTACTGCATACATGACATAACATCTTGATGGTCTCCTTGATTCAAACTGTGATCTGACACACTTGATGTCTATCCCTGTACATTCTTTGTGATGAAAAACACCTTTAACCAACCAAGACAGCACAAGCAAGCAATTAATTCTTTTATGCTTTTATTAGGAGTTGCACACTACTAGATTATTACTGCTTCATGTTGCATTTAATTTAAAACAGTAACTACTTTTAAGAAGCCAGGGTAAAATATGCACCAACCACAAAGTACTGGCCCTATGAAGTGGTGGAAAAGTTCTAAGTATACTCTCTGGTTTATTTTGACAATCTTCACTGTGTATTAGGACACAGGTTACAAAGTCTCATTGGCTTTGTTCTCTGGAATCATGACAAATGACAAATTCCTTGCCATTAGCAATTAATGGTCCAAAAGTAATGTTTAATACTCACTACAACAACTGTTTTTAAGTACTTAATAAGGAGATACCAACCTTTCGCATTTTTAAAGGATCCTACATATTTGCACTGAACCCACTAAAGATTTTAGGTGCCTCCTCACCAAAGCAGTGGCTACAGCCTTCACATGCTTAACAGAAGAGTGGAATTTCTGGCCTTCAAGCCCACAAAACTTATCTTGATGACAACAGGTTCTCAGGCTCAACGCTGTGCCATGGGGAATAAAAGACCTTTCTGGAATCACACCACTGGCTCTTCTAAATTATGATTTTTTAATCTAGCTGTTCAGTAAACACAGACCTCACCCAAGGCACAGCTGGGTGCTAAGTCCCAGTGCAGTGTGCAGAGAAATATTTGAACAGATGTGATATGGAAAATAGAACTGATAGCTTCTCTTCTGAGCAGTAATACCAGGTTCATGCAGCAGAAGAGGATTTGGAAAAGAAACAAGTAGGAAACTGCACTGGTAATTGTTATTTCCTTTCTCTAGAGTACCCTTAAGCAGCTGCATCTCAAATGAAGGTTGAGTCAAGATGGAAAACTTACGGAACAGGTTTCCCTTTTATGATCTCCCAAACAATCTTCACAGCTGTTCTAGAACATGTGTCAACTGCAAAGAAAACTCATAGCCACTTTCCTCCATCTATGTCTTTTGTTCTAACATTGTCCACTAGGTTTTCATTTCCCTGTTTTGCCATCTGGATCTCATCTTTATAAATACAAGTTACTTTCACCCACTTGGCTCACTTCATCTGTAGAGACTTGTTAAATGGCTTTAAAGATGATTTACTAAAAAAGCAGTGAAAGATCTAACATGAGAAGAGATTAAATTAAGTAGAGAATTTCTTGCTTTAATGTCAAAATTATGTTACCAATGACTTCTGGCTTCCCACAGTGTTCAGCCAATTTCTGCCTTATTCATATTTTTTCTCTGGCTTTATATATCTGTACAAACACATGAATTACTCAGAAGGCACCCATATTCACAGCAACAATCTACTCACAAATTTCAAACATCTGAAATATAAATGCATAGTGTCAGAAAGGTAGAAAGAAAAGCAGGTCCAAACACTAGTGCTTTGTTTCTGAAGCACTATGGAACACACTAACTGAGCCCAGGAATGAAAGATTTTATTAAATTACTTTTCTTTTGCCTACTGAATTGTGTATTTCACCAAAACAGTGAGTACCAAGCTCCAAGAAAATAATATCAATCTGAATGGATGTACTCAGTCAGTTATTCCAGATACATTTTTAAATGGTATTGAAAGTTTGTACTTTAAAGGAAAATTCTTATCTAACTTTGAAAGGGAAGAAGAAAGTGCCTCAGAAGAGCTGCAGTAAGAGCATAAACTAGCATTGCCAAGTAATTGCTCCTGCCTCTTCTGGAGCAGGATAGAGCTGCCCTCTTTCTAGTTTATGTTCTCATATCTTCAGTAGCTCAAGTAGCACAGATCCACATTTGGCACTAAAATTTTGCAATCCCTTCCTCAAAATGCTGTTCAGGACTGTATCTTTAAACAGGACAGAAACAGGACAAAGCTCAAGTACAAAAGGGAAAAAAAAAAAAAGGAAAGCACCTGAAGTTGATTACTCTTAAAAGTGAAGGACATCTCTTGGCTTAATATTTTTGTATGATCAGGAGTGAAACATTACTGATGAACCAGAAAGGTAGCATTCTTTATCATTCTCTTCATCTGAATCTAAATTCAGCTGGTAAGACATACCAATTCAGAGCTCTGTATGCCCTGGCACCTGGTACAGGAAGTCTGTCCCAACAACAGGCAACCATTTAGTCAAAAGCAATGTCTTTTTGATTCTTAAAAGACTCTAAGAGGCACTTTAAACTCTACCCAGAAATCAACAGGCAGGTCCTGGAGCTGCAGTGCCAAAAGCATTGCAGAGATGCCCTTCTGGCAAGTACCTGTTATTTACCCTGTTTCCGGTATCAAACTAAAAATTAATTTTTTAAAAGTGTAGTAGAAAAGGGCCAAGTTAAAAAATGAGGTCAGTCAGTCAAAAAGCTGCCTGAATTACTTCTGAAACATGCTCTCAGATGGCTGGGCTAATTTTGACTGTTAAGGTTTTCATTTGACTAGAGATCTAACAGCAGGCTCACTGTCTTCAAGGACTAATATTGCCTCTGGCTGCTTCTCAATACCAACTGGCAACCCAAATTTTTCTGGGCTAAACTTTCATCTGTCAAGTATGACCTTGGCACCATCTGGGACACCAGTAGCTAAAGGGGCAGGCAAGTCCCACTGTCCTGACTTCCTGCAAACTGAAGGAAAACTATTGAGTTCTTCAACATCCCAAAAGCGACCACAAAACCTCTGAGATTTGGGACTCTGTTACAGCAAATACCTAATGGATTTCCAGTCTTGTATCACAATGAATCTCCTCATAAGATGGCATTTCACTCACAAGCCAATAAAATGGGAGAAAATAGATGCAAACTGGGGACTTACTGTTTTCTAAGGATGTCAGGACATTTGCAATTGCTTCTCAACCTTTATCAAGGGAACTAGGCCAAACCCTGTATCCACTGTATTTGCAGCTATTGACATTGCAAAAACAACCAAAAGATCTAGGTTTGGTTTGGCAATATTTTCTATTCACTCCATGGTATTCCTTCAACTGTTTTAGGCTATTCTCTCATCCTGTTAAAAGCCACCTTGCCAGAAACCTGCCAGTTTCCCATATGAATGCACTTGTCACCAAAATGAATTGCCACCTTGCATTAGTGGTTCAAAGAGCCTCCTGATAGGAGCTCAGGAAGAACAGAAAATGGGGTAAAAAGTGATGCATTATCCCTAAAATACCGCTACTTCACTTGTCAAGGATTGCAATTAGAGTTGGGCCAAGGCAATGTTAGCTCAGCTGCCTCTGAACACACCTGTTTCAATTTAATTTGCAGTAATTAGGAAGCCTAGGGCACCAGGAAAAACTGCTGTTCACTCACTGTTTCAAATAGCTGAGTTTTCATGTACCATTTAAAATGCTGTTTTTCAGAACAGACTGCTGACTTGCTAATGCTAGGAAAATGAAATACAGCAAAATATTTTTAGCAGCAGGAAGTTGTTACTTGCTACTGCCAATTACATGCCTTGTACTTGAACAGTGACATTTTTTTTCCCCTTGCTTACTCTTCAAGATAGGTAAAAGCTGGCTGAGGTCTCAGGGCATGAGGATTTGGATTAAACTTAGTCTCTGGGAGCTGGCTGATATTTCTGGAGTCATAGTCAGTACTGGCAGCAATCTTCTGTGACAGAAAACACAACAGTGTCCCAGATCCACTCCTCAAAAACGGGAAAAGGAGAGGATTAAGCAAGAGACTTGGATCTATTGGCTTTGGCAAAAGGCTGAATAGCTTGTCATGCTAAAAAAATTACTGCAATTGGGGAGTAGAAAATGGGGCAGAGGGGGGAGAAATAAAAAAAAGCATTACAATTACATAAGAATAGATATTTATACTCTGAGTTAATTTATCAAACTGACAGAGTGATGAATCATCCACCATTAAAATAAGGGGATACAAGCTTTCTTTATATCACCATCATTATTTACAACTTTTAAATATTCATGGAGGAGTCAAGTATTCTCATCTTTTAATTTAAAATGGTCTTGCAGGCCAAAAGAAAACTCTTGGCAAAAATAAGTTTCTACAGGAACAGGGCCTGAAGAATGATTTCTTCAAAACAGGATAGATCTTAGCAATCATGATGATACTTCTTTATTTAAAAATCTACACTGCAAACCACAGAGGGCTCAATAAACTCACACAAACCTAGACCTTCAAGTAACAAAACAATGAGAAAGGGCAATAACAAGGACCTGTGGTATAGCTAGACACAGCGAATTAGGACTTTTTAAAATATAACACAAGCGTGATTTTTTTTTCAGGTGACACACAGCTCTGCTTTGAGGCAAGTTCATTCCCACATGCTGAGAATCCAACTGAAGACAATACAGTTCCTCTCACTGAAATAACTTCAACAGATGCATGCATTTCTACAAGTAAAACTGTATTATTTTAATAATTGGCCTTTTATTGCTGCAATGCCATTAGAAACAGTGATGCCACTGTATATTTTCCCATCACCTCCCTGCCTAACCCTCCCATCCAAAACAAAACCAAAACCAAAAAACAAACCCCACAATTATCTGGGAGATTCACAGCAATGCTTCTTGAATATTGCTTTGATTATTTTGAAATGGTTTTAATATTATCAGTTATTACTTTTTGTAGAGTGACGTGTGCTTAAGAAATGGTCAAGAAAACAGAAAAAGAAACCCATATAATAAAGTGAGGTTTAGTGATCAGCACCATTTTTTCAGGTGAACTATATGGAATATAAAAGTGTCTGCCTGAAGCTGTGCTTATATAAGGGATATGGGACACCCATATATGTCACACATGATTTTAAAACTATGAAAAATCAGAAAGTATGAGGCTGGATCTTCATTTATTCATTTGCCTTTGGTGCTTCAACAGGCAATTTCTTTACAATCCAGGATTTTAATTTTTCTATTTCAGTTCTGCTCAGCTCATGATTGAGGTTTGGAAAAGTATGAAGTGATGCTGATACTCCCAGAGACTTTAACATCTTGTTGGTCTCTTCACCCCATGAGTAGAGAACTAGTTCATCAGCAGTTCCATGGCACTGAAATAATTCTGGAAGAGCATTTTCATTTCTTTTCAAAGCCTAGATGGAAAGGAGACACTGTCAGTCAGATATACTGCCAAAAGTTTCAAAAGAATATTTACAATTACATGGTGACAATTTATTGCATTTACTGATCTACATTTTAGGGGCCATATTGTACTATCTCTATAGAAGTAAACAAGGAAATACTGGAAAAAAATGGCCTTCAAATTCCAATACAGTAACTCTTCAGAAATGATAGGGTTTACTTTAAGATAAACCTTAAGGTACACCTCTCCAAAAAAGAGAAACAGAAAAAATTCATGACAGCAAATGGGGCTCATGAGCATTATAATGCATCACACATTTTCAAAGAATAGTTATGCTTATACAGACTCCTTAACAATTAAGGACAACTAGTAAAGCATTTCATTTGTTAATTTCCTTCTACACTTTAATATTATACTGTCTGTGCAAAACAAGCGTAATAAAGCACTATTTAAAGACAGTTTTAAAGCCTCACTTCCCTAATACTCTGATTATCTTTTCCTGGAAATGGTGTAAGTTTAGAATACAAATCAACTGCCTCAGATGTATAAACATGCATAGTGGATTTTAATCACCATGTTTTCCATGTAGCTAAGCAGGCTTTCCATAATATCTAATATACACTCACCTGGTAAACAGCAGAGTCTTTATTGAGAAAACTAGACAAGGCAAAGACTCCTGCCAGATCCTGATGAAACCTATATGCCAAATGCATTGCCATTCCACCTCCCATTGAAAAGCCTCCTAGGATGCAACAAAAGAAACAAAGACTGGATTTCTCTTTAAGTCTTTGTAACCCAATGTATAATTTCTTATCTTCAGACTTATTCCTTTTATACATAATACAACAAAAATACCATCTTGAGTATCATAAAAGTTACAATGATTTTAGAACCACAGAATCACTTAGGTTGGAGAAAACCTCCAAGATCATCAAGCCCAATCTATGACCCAACACCACCTTGTTGAGTAGACCATTGCACCAAGTCCCACACAGTCTTTTCTTGATCACCTCCAGGGACAGTGACTCCAGCACCTCCTTGGACAGCCCATTCCAATGTTTAACAACTTTTCTGTGAAGAAATTCCTTCTGACATCCAACCTGAACGTGGACACTATATGGCATAGCTTGAGGTTTAAATCAAAGCATGATGCAATTAAGACACTGGATAGCTAAAGCAGTGCTGAAGATTCATTACTGAGAGAGGACAAAAAGGAACAGCCAAAATACCATTACTCCAGAAGCCATTGGTGTATGGTCCCTACCGGGTAGCTGATACTGTGGCCATACATACCCTGACATTAATAAATGAACAGGTAATTCTCACTCCTTTTTGTAGTCAAGTTATTTCTCCCCTAGGCTAGCAGCATTCACACATGAAAGATCTCTATTGTACATAATCAATAAGCATTCACATTAAACTAGCATTGAGGATATTTTTGTTGCTATACTGTGGGACATATAATAAATAGTGAAAAAAAGCAATGTACTCCCCCTGAGCTCTAACAGGATCTCTGAATTAATGGCCTTCCGTGATCCATATGTCTCTTCAACTACACTAATTCTTTACTGAAGATAATTCCTCAGGGATGATTTTTAAATGACAAATGCTTACTCATTAGGAAAGAAATCCAGACCACCACATTACTTCACAAGGACACAGTACAGAGGCCATTACATTGACTGTATCCAGATAATGACTAGAGTGAAGTTTCCTTTATTTTCTTATGCACAATCTGGTCACTTATTTAATTTCCTTTTGTTCATTCTGAAGAATGCTGTCATCCCAAAACCCCAAAAGAAGCACTTGTACTCTAAGAAACCATTTTGCATTTGCTTACAAATAAATACAGACAATGCTTTGCCAACACATAAAATGAAGTCCACTTTAAGTATTTCAGATTACAGGAAGAAAAGCTGCATTGAAAAGTCATTACTAGTTTGTAAATGATTTAATCTTAAAATTTTGTACCCAGTTAGTCACAATCTGGCACACTGTCTGCAATTACTCACCAGCAGTCTTTGACAATGCAGTCACCTTCTGTTTAGAAGAATATTAGGTAATGGTTCTTTTATGTGGTTCATACTACTACAAGAAAATGCAATACAAAGTACTAGCTCTTTGAATTTGATTTGCATGGGAATACCTGAAGTTCATCACCTGATACCACAACCACCTCCAAGAAAACGTCAGAGGATATTCAGAGGATATAAATGTTTCAAAAACAACAATTTGAATAAGCATTTATAGATGCAGACTACTTTTTCAATTACAAGAACGATGTCAGTATATGTTTGATATAACACATACAAGACATTCTCAGTCAAGAATTCCTACAAGAATTCAAATTTTGAATGAAGGAAAAACAAGAGGCAGATACAGATATTAGACAAAACAAATGTATGGAATGACAGAGAGTAAACAAAACTGAAAAGTACATGTATACAGATGATCTCAGCATGAAGAATACATAAACTGTACAGCATTGCTAAGCAGTTCACGTCTGAGTGTTAGACAAAATCAAAATGACACAGAAACATCTAATCCTTAGGTGGGCAGAACATTGCAAGGTCTTCACCAATCTACTTCTCTACTTGAGATCAATCTACTTCCAAGACACACAAAGACTACGCATGGTAATTCAGAGTTTGCCAGTATGTTTTAAATTTAAAAGTATATTCACTTTCAGTTCTCCCCTCATACCTATTTTAATGAGAACTGTGATTAATGCTTCACAACAGTTAAACAGGGTTAGCTTGACAATGCTCAGGATGCCAGTTCAGGGAAGCACCTAACTCTTTGTGTTAACTTCCTGACTCACAAAGGAGGTTTATGTGTAGACTAATAGGGGAGCACATACAAAAGATTCAATTATGTAAAACACTTCAAGTCGCAGACAAAGTTCACTCATGGATGCATTCACGACCTCAAATCTGCTTCAGTGTAGTGCTGATTTTTAGGTAACACCCCTCTGCAATAAGAAGAAAGCTGCTTGTGACTCACCTTGATAGCTGAGAAAGATCTGCTGAAATCACAGTTTTAACACTTTCAAATTATAGAATTTGAATCAGAAGGAAACTCCCAAGCAATACTTTACTAAAACTAAAACACTCCTTTCTGGAATATAATCTATAACTAAATTCAGGCAATCTCAGGCACAGGATGATGTAAGACAATGTGAACAGAAACTGAATTTCTCATATGGAATTTATACCTGATTGAATAAAGCAGAAACCCTCACCACAGTTGCCATTTTTCAGTGATAAAATATTCCTTTCAGAGCTTGTGAATGGCCTTAGGAGCCTTTTAAACAAAACTCCAGCTCACTTTTGCAAAAGATCTTAATTTGTATTAATTTGCTTCCCATTTGTATTTGTCTGAAACAACATTTTCTGTGATGACACTTGAACGTTATATGGGGTTCAGGAAACCAAGTATTTACCTACTGTCAGACTTCAGCTTTATTTGTTTCTTTTTTTGTACTTTGTCTAACAATGTGTTTGCATCTCAGAAAAGACAAACTTTATTATCCAACACAAAGGTTTATTTTGTATCTCCTGTCCTGTATACATAAGAGAATGCTAAAAACTGCCTTCTCCCCCATGCATCACTTTAGTGGCTGCAATGAGCTATTCCTAAATTCAGAAAATTCTTTAGCTGTTCAATCTTCTTTAAAGAAAAACCATCTCTCTAGCTCACACAGGTTTGACATTTCCAAGTGCATCCCAAACCATTTAGATCTGACTGTAAAATGTCTTAGTCCATTTGTTATAATGATTATGGAATTAGGAAACAATAAATATCACTTCTTCACTCTTTTCAGTAGAATTTTTAACATGCTCAAAGCTGCTTGCCATACTAGAAATCACAGCCATGTGAAAAAAGTAGTTATGAATCATATCTAGTGCACAAACTTTGAAGAAAAAAATAAGGAACAGGAGAAGCTAAACCCCTTATGAGATAAGGATTTGGACTTGGGTGTAGAGGTATAGTTTGGGGTGTTTGTTTTAAGCAATATATCTACACTAGCTTCTCTGCAGTAGTTGTTCTTCATCTTTCCTGTATTTTTTCACATTTTTCAGTACAGCTTTGGTAACAAAGTGGCAAAAAATGAATCCTCCAGCACACAGTGCCTGTGCCAGCACAGCACAAGACACTCTTCTGTTGTATAAGGCTACACCAGCACAGTTAGAAATTGTCTTGGCCTTTTCTGTTATTATTACAATATATTACATACTCTTGCCTCCTTTTCATTCCATTCTCACAACATTTTTCATTCTCAATTTCTCCTTTTTTCAGTATTTCAACTTAGAGTTGCTTTAATCAGTTTGTTATCAGGAGTTTCTCCCTAAAGCTACATTCCAGTTTACTTTCCCCACTCCACAGCACTTTGTGATTTACCTTCTATTAACAGTAACAGCACAATCTTGTTTTACGCATCATCTGCAAAGAAGCTGACTTTCTGTTTTGGCCTTCCATTTTTGTCAATGAATGGAATTATTATATACATTTAACAGTGTTCACAAATTAATATCAGCAAAGGGTACAAATGCCAGCGGAACAGCAAATTCCCTTCTCCACAGAACTCCTTAAACACTGCTCCTGTGTTAAGTGCTCAAACATGTACTTTGTCTCAAGTGAATTTCCTCCCAGCAGTGATTTTTTTCTTTTAATCTCTTAATGGAACTTTATTAAACAAAAACCTTGCACACCAGCAGAACTGCAATCAATGGTTTCCACCTTTGATAACCTTGTTATTCTGTTTGTTACTTGGTCTTTACAAGAGCAACAAACTTGAGTCTTTACAAGAACAAAGGCAACTTCCCTTGAGTGGTTCAGCCACTTGCTCTTGTTAGAAACGTGAATCAATTTGCTCCCCAACTTTCTCACCAGTCAAAACACATTTTGAAATGTATATTTAAGTGGTATGAGTTTTACCACTTTCTTGTAAAAACAAGTGTACAATTGTTTCAAACATATCAACTTGTAGTAAAACCAGAACCACTTACACTTTTATTTTCAACTGTTATGGGTAATAGAGGGGAACCCAACATGTGTGCCTAAGGAGTCGTAATTTTTAGCACTGTAAGCAAAATAAAATCCATGAAAACTCTCAAATCGATTTTTATTGAGATGTTACTCTACCAATCTATGGCTTCCTTCATTTACCCAGTGTATTTTCTTGGTTGTTTCTAGAGAAGATGACAGCACTACCCTGTTGCAACACTTACCTGTCACTTTTACAGTCAGCATAACTGCACAACATAGGAAAAGGGAAGAGAACAACCTATCCTTTCTGCTCAATATATTTGTGACTCTAAACTGAATCACAGAAAGAAAAGTGGAAAATAGCTCTCTAAAGCAAAGAGTAGTGAAGCACAGAAACAGGTTGTTGTTCTGCAGAGCTGTGAACCTTTTGTCAGCAGAGATCTTTTACAAGAAGTCAGAAAAGAAATGGCAAGGATTTGCTTAAATAGAGCTGAGCCTGCACTGGCACATGAAAATAGAATAGCAAATGTTGTGAAGTCTCACTCTCCTACAATTCTGTTGGCACAACTGTGAAAAAAGCACAGGTTAATTTGTACCCTGTGGCACGTCTGCACAACTCTCAAGCATTCTAAAAGCCCATCCATCCACTGGATTTTGCACTGAACTCAGGCATCTATTAAAGATGAGTAAGGATATGTTCTCAACAGTTCCTAGTAAGGCTTAAAAGATCAGAACTTGACTCACTTTATAATT